CAACCTGGCATTTGTACAAGAGTAACAACCAGTTAACTCATCAGGGCCCAGTTGTGAAACCAGATGTAGCACAGGAGACAAGAGCACCAGACTTTCACAAAGTCTTTTCCCTTACTTCCTTAGTATGTTATGGTGTGTGACTACCATACAATTTACTCTGATGGGTCTATTTCCCATCCAAGAGGAGTGGTGCTATTGTGCATGGGGATGTCCTGCCATCCAAGGATATTGTAAATTTAACACCTTCAGCTCCAGTACTCTAGGTTACAGACCAAGATTTTTAAAAATATAATTACAGTTAATCTTAAAGTTTTTTTATATTAAATATACTATGTTTATTTTAAATTTCCACTAAGGTATGTGTTTTAGGATGTACTTCAATAGAATACACAGAAGACTAAAGAATGAGAGATATAAATTGCTATCTCCATCCTATCTTGTCTCCCTAAATAAATTTCACTTGTATTTAGCATGATGAAAACTACATTTTAGGTACATTAGAGACATTTAGTCACTTAAAAATTATTAATTGTTAACTTTTAGGTTTTAATTGCCCATGATATAACTGTTTACCCAAATTAGTAAACTCAGGTTTGAAATGACAATTTAGGATATGTGTAGGACCCCAAAGGTCTGCTATGCCTTGGCTGAGACTTTCTATATGCTGCTGTCTACTAAGTAACATTTTGTGGTTCCTCTAAAATCAAAAACATCCTGACTAAGGCATGGTACCCCAGGAAGGGAACTTACACTTGACATCCAACAAGACATCCTGTTGAAGGATGATGCCCCAGGAAGGAAATTTACACTTGACATCCCATTGCCCCCCAGTTGAGTTCCTGTTTTTTTTTTCCTGAGTTTGTGTTTTTCCTTCCCTGGCTTGGTGTATACATATTGAACCTGACCAGTAAAGGCATTGGCATTCTCTCACAACGGATGACCCGAGTCTGAGTATTTCTTTAATCCCCCAGGCCTGTGTCCAAGCTCGGTATCGTGGGCAGCACCGGAGCTGTCAAGTGGAAGTTCCACCAAGATCTGGAAAGAGAGGAGAACCTGACGGGATCATTCCTGGAAGAGGCTGGCCGGCCAGCTCAGTGAGTCGAACATATTGGAGAAGCGGCGTGGGATCAAACTGCCAGTAGTAAGTAGCACTAAGAGAGTTTGATCGTTTGGTTGCACCATGGGAACTAGGAGTTCCTCCCTACAAGTAGTGGCACCGGATGATACAGCTAAGAAATCCTTGCATGAGGTGGAGAAGAGCTCCAGCTCTGAGGATGAGAGAGAAATTTTAGAAAAGGAAAAATTGAAGAGATGCAAGGTCAAAAAATTGGAACAGTAGCCTGGAAAAGGGGAAGTGAGAGTGGACGAGCTACTCAGTCCCCTGGTGGTGGCGGTGGCAGCAGGGATGGCACGATGGCCAGGCCAGGGGCATTTCTGCTGCAGCAGCAGTGGTGGCAGGTGACTGCAGGAGTTGGGGAGGCCATGGTCTGCACCAGCCATACCGAATAAAAACAAGAAAGAGAAAGAACCACCAAAACTAGTGAGAAGTAGAAAAGGTTCAAAAGAAGGACAAGATACAGCAGAAGTAGAGATAGCCAGCAGGAAAAACCTCAGAGCTGTCCAGTCTTCGACACCTACTAAAGTAAAAGTACCAGTCCCTCAGCCAATCGTAGTCCCTGTGAAGAAAGACAGATGGCAGAACTCTTCATGGTTTAATGCCAGCAATAATAGAGAACTGCAAAAATTCCCATCTTTACAAGCTGTTCCTCCTGCGGGTCAAGAGAAACTTTCCATCCAGAAGCAACACCAGTGTTGTGTCCTCTTTGATTTTGCTTCTGACCCACTGAGTGACCTGAAGTGGAAAGAAGTAAAGCGAGCTGTGCTAAGCGAAATGGTGGAGTATATCACCCACAACTGGAACTTGATCACAGAGCCCATGTACCCCGAGGACTTCCACATGTTTGCAGTTAATATGTTTCGAACCTTGCCACCCTCCTCCAATCCTACAGGAGCAGAATTTGACCCAGGAGGAGATGAACCAACCTTAGAAGCAGCCTGGCTTCATCTGCAGCTTGTCTATGAATTTTTCTTAAGATTTTTAGAGTCTCCAGATTTCCAGCCCAATATAGCAAAGAAATATATTGAACAGAAGTTTCTATTGCAGCTTCTAGAACTCTTCGACAGTGAGGATCCTTGGGAGAGAGATTTTCTAAAAACGACCCAGCACAGAATCCATGTGAAGTTCTTAGGCCTGCTTGCTTACATCAGGAAACAGATCAAAAAATATATTTTATAGGCTTGTCCATGTGACAGAGCACCATAATGGCATAGCAGAATTACTGGAGATCCTGGGAAGTATAATTAATGAATTTGCCTTACTACTAAAGGAAGAGCACAAGATTTTCCTGTTGAAGGTGTTGCTGCCCTTATACAAAGTGAGGTCACTGTGTGTCTACCATCCCAAGCTGGCATACTGTGTCATGCAGTTTTTAGAGAAGAACAGCACCCTCACTGAACCAATGGTAATGGCTCTTCTCAAATACTGGCCAAAGACTCACAGTCCAAAAGAAGTAATGTTCTTAAATGAATTAGAAGAAATTTTAGATGTAATTGAACCATCAGAATTTGTGAAGATCATGGAGCCTCTTTTCCGACAGTCAGCCAAATGTGTTTCCAGCCCTCACTTCCAGGTGGCAGAGCGGGCACTCTATAACTGGAATAATGAGCACATCATGAGTTTAATCAGTGACAATGCAATGAAAATTCTGCCCGTCATGTTACCATCCTTATACTGCAATTCAGAGCCCTCTTGAGATATGTCCTGCTTTCTCTCTGGCTCCTACTGGAGAAACCCCTAGTTCTGCTTTCCCTGTCTATTGTCTGTCCTTGGTATGCCAGTCTGTTAATTGTCTGTTTTTGTTTCATTGTTTTATGCTAAAAAAGTCTTTATTGAGTATGATTAAAAATTTGCAACTTTGATAGTAACTCAGGGCTGGAGAGATGGCTCAGCTGTTAAAGGCCAGGCTATAGTAGAAAGAACACATTTAACTTTGAAAAATTATCTTGAAAAAACAAAAAGAGAGTTTACCTCACCTCATACAAGATTATCCTTTATATCCTTTATTTTATATATATTTATATATTATTTATATTTTATATATTTTAAGTTTTTTATTAGTGGATAAGGATGCGTTGTCTGCAGCAGACAGACATTGGAAACAAACCCAGAAGGCACTGGGCTTAGTGAAATGGTAAGAATTGTCATCAGGTGTATGGAAAGGCCCTGACTCTGAGTTAGTCAAGGTGAGAGGTTCTGTTTGTGTTTTTCCTAAAGATGCTGAAAGTCCTGTTTGGATTCCTGAATGTTGTGCACCCTGGACTGTTGTGAAGAACCCCCTCAGTTCGGATGTCAATGGGGATAAGCAGCTTGACTTGTCCAGTCATAGTTCCCACCAAGACTATTGGAAAAGCTGCTGCTAATTTTGAGAAACCAACATGTTACTTATCAGTTGTTAACGTTACTTGTGTACAGCCTCTTTATGAAGAGAAGTTTCTAGCAGGACTCAAACTGGCCGGAAGGCTCCTTAAAGGATGGACTAGAGGTCCTTGTCTCTGGGAGTCCTAGCATTTGGGGCAGCCGCAGCAGGATTGATATTTCTTTGCTGCCTTCACAGACAACAGATCCAGTCCCAGGCAGTTACTAAGTGGGTGCTCATGTTGCTGGCACAAGAGAACCCTTCTGCCCAGGTTTGGCTGAGCCTTTACTGAGAATAGTTATTCAATGATGGGCAACTCCTTTGCAGTCCTTACCTACCTAAGACAGGGGCTCTGAGGCTGGCAGGGATTCCCAATGACGGGTAATTGGTATTGACAGGTGACCTAAGACAGATGCTATTCGCCTATAAAATAAAAATGGGGGACTTGTAGGACCCCAAAGGGCTGCTATGCCTTGGCTGAGACTTTCCTTGTGCTGCTGTCTACTAAGTAACATTTTGTGGTTCCTCTAAAATCAAAAACATCCTGACTAAGGCATGGTACCCCAGGAAGGGAATTTACACTTGACATCTAACAAAACATCCTGTTGAAGGATGATGCCCCAGGAAGGAAATTTACACTTGACATCCCATTGCCCCCCAGTTGAGTTCCTGTATTTTCCTGAGTTTGTGTTTTTCCTTCCCTGGCTTGGTGTATACATATTGAACCTGACCAGTAAAGGCATTGGCATTCTCTCACAACGGATGACCCGAGTCTGAGTATTTCTTTAATCCCCCAGGCCTGTGCCTGAGCTCGGTACCGTGGGAAGCACCAGAACTGTCAGATTTGTATCAATAATAAAGTAAGACCCGCACCTATGTTTGATACCTGACATCACATATCCACTCATCAAACGCATCCCCTTTACTGAGTGAGTGCATGGGGCTTGGGTCCATAGTTCAATTCTCTGCCAAGTTTTTATGACATGAAAGTTGGAGTCATACACTGTTCTGAAATGAAAGGAAATACAGGGCCTTCATTATGGAACTAAATATGACTTTACTGTGTTTAGTTAGATTTTCCTGGAGAAACACTAATGCCGATTTAGCCTAGGTGAGAACCAATGCAGACCATTTTACAGAAGGTGAAATGTGAGTTTATCAAGCACTTTACATGCCCAAAGGAAACATTATTGGAGGAGCTTGAGTGACACCACCGAGAAAAACAGTAACTATACCATGGCTCAGATCTTAGACCCCATTATGAAATAACACTTGTTTTATATCTATAGGTATAGTAGAAAGAGACTCATCAATCATGCAATATTCAAGCACACTATAGAACACACTGGTTGGGAGGTTATAGCAAAGACAAGTGTCTACTGTTCTCTCATGACATTCTCTATATTTGTACTGATGGATGTAACATGTTGGTGTTGACATTCCAAACTCATTCACTTAAGAGTCTACACTACAGATTGAGTTGGGTAACGTTTGAAGGATTAGGAATGATTTTACCACACTCCACACAGTCACAGAGTTTTATTCACTATGAATTATTTGATGTCTTTTAAGGGCTGAAGAAGTATAAACTTTTTAAGACCTTTGCAAGATTTCTCTCCAGTATGAACTGCCATGTGTCGAGTAAGGCTATAAACATTAACAAAGGCTTTGCCACATTCCACACACTTGTGTAGATTGTCTTCAGAGTGAATTGCTTGATGTCGTACAAGGCATGAGGACTGTTCACACTTGTAAAATTTGTCTCTAGTATGAACTGTCTTATGTCTCCTAAGGGATGAGCGATAACGGAAGGCTTTGGGGCAATTGTCACACTTGTACGGTTTCTCTCCAGAATGAATTGTTTGATGTTCCTGAAGACTTCTACTATATGAAAAAGTTTTTCCACATTCTTCACATTTATAGGGATTCTCCTCAGAATGGAATGTTTGATGTCTGGTAAGGGATGAAGAGAAGCGGAAACATCGGCCACAGTCTTCACACTTGTAGGGGTTGTCTTCAGAGTGAAATATTTGATGTCTTCTAAGGGATGAAGATGAGGAAAAACATCTCCCACACTCTTCACACTTGTAGGGGTTGTATATAGAGTGAATTGTTTGATGTCTTCTAAGGCAGGAAGATGAGGAAAAAGATGTTCCACACTCACCACACTTGTAAGGTTTCTCTCCAGTATGAACTGTCTTGTGTATCCTAAGGGCTGAGAGACAACGAAAGGCTTTATAACATTTTCCACACTTGTAGGGTTTCTCGCCAGTATAGATTTGTTCCTGTTCCTGAAGGTATAGAGGAGGGGAAAATCTTTTGATACATTCTTCATACTGGGAGAGATTTTCTCTACAGTGAATTCTTTGATGTTGTTTAAGGAATGAAGGATAGCAAAAGAATTTTCCACATTCTTGACACTTGTAGGTTTTCTCTCTAGAATGATTTCTCTGATGTTGCTTGAGCATTGAAGGATAGTAAAACGATTTGCCACATTCTTCACACTTGTAGGGTTTTTTATCAGTATGGTTTTTCTGGTGTATAAAAAGTGACGAGCGAGTACTAAAGGCCTTACAACACTCTTCACACTCATAGGGTTTGTCTCCAGTATGAAGTCTCTGGTGTATGGAAAGTGCTTTATGAGAACTCAAGGCCTTACCGCATTCTCCACACTTGTAGGGTTTCTTGCCTACATGAATTCTCCCTCGTTTAATAAGGAGTGATTTACAAATAGTGGTCTTGCTGTAGTAGTTAGAATCATTGGGTGTTATTCCTGTTGAGACAAAGTTGAGATATGAACAAAAGTTAAGCAATATTCTTTATACTTATATGGATAATTTTTTAAAATGAAGACATTGACTCATATATATTTAACCATAAATAAAAATCTGCAGTATATTTCAATACCTGTAAGCACTGAGCAAAATTCACAAATAGAGTTGGTGCAAAGAATGTGTACTTTTACTGGA